CGAAAGTTTCTAGTGTTAGTTCTAGTTTTAGTTCTAATTTTAGTTCAATTAACTCCGGCCGTGAAAGCCTTCGTACTTACAAAAAAAGTAGATATTTCAAGTGTTCCAGTTTTTTGCCGCACTGTATCTAACAACCACTTCCGGTTGTTAGATATGCCTGAAACTTTAAGTCTGGTATTCTATTATTGTTATGCAAGTTTACACCAAATATACGAGATTTATCTTTTAAGAAAAAGAATATAAGCATTTTATATGAAAACGGTCAAATAACACACTCAGTCACTGATCATCTTTGATCGTTAATATCTTGGAAAGGAGCAAGTTAAAGCAAGATGTGGTTATCATGTTATATAGAGCACATCTCAAACAATAAGAATATTCTAGCGACAAAAGTTCTTCTTGCGTCTTCTGCGAGATATATATGTTAAAACATTTGGTTGTAACTTCAAGTAGGTGTTAATTAGCTTTAAAAGAAGTGCTTATTACGTATTTCTGCAAAAATATTTTAAAAATTAGAAAAGTGCCAAATGAAGACCTTTCTATACTGTTTAAGATAGCAACAACGCATTGTCTTGAAAAAGTGGAACACAATATATTTTCTTCATCTAAAGTTGTAGCATTTTATGATATTTAATACACAAGAATTGTAGTACTGTTTTATTGCGTACAGTTGGCACTAGAAAGTACATAAGACTTTATTCCTTTCACCTCTCAGTCTATTAGGACTTAAAGTACATGTAACATGTAAAAAAAAAACGAAAAGAAAAATTTCGAAAATTTGATTTTCGTTCACATTTTACCGCTTGTGGACCACTGTGCGACGTCAGTACAGCTACAGACTCATAAAAATAGGGAGAAGAACAAAATCGGAACGGCGACATCAAAATGTGTTAAAACACAATTTAATTCTGTATACTGGCTCTTCAAAATAATTCACAGCGACAAATTACTTACTTAAGTACTTTTAATTAAATAAAACTAAAATATCATGAAAAATAATAAAAACCCTGCACACACGCCCTCATCACACTCTCTCTTTTGTGATAGCCTTCTCAGCTCTGACCCGAGTCTTGATGTTTGTAAAGTACATCACGCAACTTACGCTTGAAGGAGCAACACGATAACTCTTTTTTAACTTCGGACGGACATTCATTGTACAATTTTGAAACATTGTAGGAAAAGCATCGTTTGAACATTGCAGATCTATGCACCGGGATTGTGATAGTATTCTTATGTGTGATATTTATGTTATGAACATCTGTCCGAAATCGTATTTTTTCGTAAAGATATGGTGGGGTTCTGTTCAGAATTATTTTATGACATAAGCACAGGAAATTGAGTTTGCGTCGGTTCATCATATTAAGCCAACCACACACCCCCAGAGTGTGAGAAATTCGGTCATACTTACGCATTCCATATATGAACCTTAGACAATTATTTTGCTATCGTTGAATTCTATATTTATCTACTTCCAACAGGTTGGGCCCATATACGACATCAGCATGCGTAAATATTCAGAGTATGCTTTGCTGTAGTCAAGTAGAACTGCAATAGCGTGCTGTCCCGTCTCTTGCAACGATAATGTCGTCAGTAATTTTTAAGAGAGCCGTGGAACAGCCATACACAGGTCGAAACCCAGACTGAATTGTTGGTAATAGATTATTATTAACTGTGTAGTTAAAAAGTTGTCTCCCCATACACTTTTCCAAAATTTTAGAGAACGCGGGTAATATACTATAGGTCTCAAGTCCCCGAGCTCTCTCGGATTTCCGATTTTGGGCAGGGGTATCACTTTTGCAATCTTCCAAGTTTTCGGGAAATAACTCTGCTCAAAGCAGCAGTTAACAATGTGTGTCATAAATGGAATTATATGTGAACAGCAGAATTGAATGAACGTAATATTGAATTCATCAATGCCAGAAGTACGTGATTTAATTTCTGCAATTATTCTTGAAATGTCACTAAAGTTAATGAGTTTAAGTTCGAATATTAGATCATTCCCCAACAATTTATTATTATTGTAGTAATCGAGCAAAACATCATCGACGGTGTCGCTCACGTTACCAACAAAAAAACGATTGATTTTATTTACATCAAAGTCCGCCATGTTTGTTTTGGATTCTTTTTGTTAGCTATTGATCTAATATACGCTTTTTTTTCTCTTTCAACCGCAGAAGTGGTTAAGTTCCGTAGTGTCTTATAATAATTCCAATGTTCTAAAGATTTTGTTGATCGGAATTTTATGAAAGCTTGATCACGCAGTTTCATCAGGTTTCGAAAACTTGACGGAACGGATTAGTGCATGAAAATTCAACAAAAATAGCAATTGGTCATTGAGAAACTGTAGTTTGTCATCTATGTTACATACGTGATAGATAGTCTGCAATGGAAGGGAGCCCAGATATCGTTCAAACGTTTCATAATTAATGTTATTAAAGTTTCTATAAGTTTTTTTCACTGAATCAACTTTCTTGAAAGAAGCTGGAATCTCAGCTTGTATTATATTTGTTGTAGAATTTATAGGATTATTAGTTACTATAAAGTCTATTAGCTTACTTGAAGTGTTTGTAATACGAGTAGGAAAAGTAATAATCTGTTGGGCTGACATTTCAAATGGAAGATCATTGAATTTGTGTGTATAACAATTTAAAGTGTCAAGAAAGTCAATGTAAGTGTCAAGAAGGTCAATGTTATGTCTGTTTTTACCCATTTTCTGAATTGGCACCACCAACAATTCCCTCCACTCTTCTGGCATAGTTTCTCCTTTCTTGATGTTGTTGAATAATTGAGTTAAAAATTCAGTCACACAATTAGGTGCTCTTTTGTACACAATAAAAGGCAACCCATCCCAACCAGGTGATGTACTTGTCGCTCTGTTTATTACCGTCTTAATTTCCTTCTCAGTAAAATCCTCGGACTCTATTCTTGATACCAGCCCTGTATATGTTAAGTTAAGTTCCCGATACGATGGTACATATGATGGACATAATCGGTCTATGAACTCCTCTCTCCATTCCATTCTTAAACGTCCACCATTTCCTTCTCTCATTCCTTTAAATCTCCTTACCATCGTCCATACCTCTGACATCGAACTTTCTTTGCTTATTTCTTCACAGTACAATCTAAAACTTTCACTCTTCTTTCTCAATAACAATTTCTTACACTTTGCAATATACCGCTTGACCATAATGAAAGATGTCTGACAAGGATTTTGGAAGAATTGTCTCATTAAGAACTTTCGAAGCCCAACAATTGGTTGCTACCTTACTCTTGCTCTATGGTATAGATTTTAAAATTCCTTCCTTTAGAACTTGCGTAAAACTTTTATAATCCTAAATCTCTCCCCTCACAGGTGCATCTTCCACAATACTCGAGAACCTATCCCAATCTGTATTCTTAAATTTTTACTTCCTACGTCCCCCACCAACTCTATCATACTTCTTCTTTCCCCTTGCTATCTCCATTAAAACCGGGAAATGGTCACTTCCCAAAGTATCTTTTAATGTCTCGCATTTAACCATATGTACAAAGCTGTTGGAATACAGAATTACATCCAAAATATTTCCTCTACCTGGATCCATATTGAGAATTGTAGAGTCCCATTGTTAACACATAACAGGTTATACTACTCAATAACTTTTTGTAACTCCATTCCCGTTCTATTTGTTCTGCCCGTCCCCACACCAGGAAGCCAACCATTAAAATCTCCCAGAATCTTCAGAATTTCCGCACCAGCATCACCTTCCAGCAAGAACATCCAATCTGTACTTTTAAAATTCACATCAGGAGAAATGTATTAAATTTAACGAAATGTACTCTTGAGGATGAACTATTGCACCTTTTCATTCAATCACAAAATATATTTNTACTTTGCATTGTCCCAATATTAAGTTGTCAGGTAAAATATACATTTTTCTAGTTTAATTAGAAGCAATAGGGTATGTATTTTGTTTTTTGTGTTGTTCATTAGACAAAATTGTTGTTAATTATATAATCAAATGATATTAATCTGAAAAAATTATTAAAAGAAATTAAACTGTTTAATTATTGTTAATTATATACACATTTTATTTTATCCCAATATATAGTTGTTAGGGCTCGTAATAAAAGTTTGACATATTGACTGCAACCTAATAGTTATTTATATTACAAGTGGGCTAGAAACATAATTACAATATGAATGTGGAGAATTGCACGACGAGGTCGTAGACCGTGTCGTGTAATGACACGAGTAGGTCCCACCATGGACAATAATTGGTTGCTACCTTATTCTTGCTCCGTGGTGTCGATTTTAAAATTCCTTTCATTAGAACTTGCGTAAAATTTTTATAATCCTGAATCTCTTTCCTCACAGATGCATCTTCCACAATACTCGAGAACCTATCCTAATCCGTATTCTTAAGTTTATACTTCCTATGTTACCCACCAACTCTATCATACTTGTTCTTTCCCCTTGCCATCTCCATTGAAACCGGGAAATGGTCACTTCCTAAAGTATCTTTTAATATCTCGTATTTAACCGTATGTACAAAGCTGTTGGAATACAGAATTACATCCAAAATATTCCCTCTACCTGGATCCATATTGAGAATTGTAGATTCCCAGTGTTAACACATAACAGGTTATACTCCTCAATAATTTTTTGTAACTCCATTCCCGTTCTATTTGTTCTGCCTGTCCCCACACCAGAAAGTCAATCATTAAAATCTCCCAGAATCTTCAGAACTTCCACACCAGCATCACCTTCCAGCAAGAACATCCAATCTGTACTTTTAAAATTCACATCAGGAGAAATGTATTAAATTTAACGAAATGTACTCTTGAGGATGAACTATTACACCTTTTCATTCAATCACAAAATATATTTTGACCAATCAATATCCTACATAGACTACATAGACTCACTGTCACCACACGAACGTGCGTTTTATTTATTTCTATAGCAACCTTTCTTGATAAAATTTTGATTTTCAATATAATATGTCAAATATAACATTAAAAATAATCCAAATAAAATGGAAAGTTTAGGCAAAGCTTTAATCAATTTTAAAATATTCCGGTTGGAGGTAATTCATTTAAATCATTAATATGTTTTAGGTCGTTTAATATTTTTTTTAAGAAAGCATTTTCTCGAGTATTTTATCAAAACCGTGGTGTTTCTGATACATCTTTAAATGATTCCCCATTAAATGAGTCCCCTTTGAATACTACACGTACATCGGGAGGGAATACTTCAATAAAAGAAGTTTTGCGAAGTAAAATTCCTGTAGAACAAGGGAAGGTAAAAGAGTTTAGAAAAAAATATGGTAAACTCAAAGTTGGTGCTGTAACTGTCAATATGGTGAGGCAAAATATTAAAAACGATATTTTATATTTTCTATTTTATTAATATTAAAATAGATGTATGGTGGTATGAGAGGCGTTCCTGGATTAATTTGTGAAACGTCCATATTAGACCCTGAAATTGGAATTAGATTTCGTGGTTATTCCATTCCAGATATTCAAAAACTTCTCCCTAAAGCCAAAGAAGGTGGCGAACCAATGCCTGAAGGCATTTTGTGGTTATTACTCACTGGAGATATCCCCTCATCAGACCAAGTGACTGCTTTATCTCAAGATATAGCTGAACGTATGAAAATTTCACCAATGGTTGAAACAATGTTAAACAATTTACCCGATACGGTACATCCAATGACACAACTTTCTGCTGCTATCACTATTATGAATCAAGATAGTCATTTTGCTAAAGCTTATAGTGCGGGAGTTCGCAAAGAAAAATATTGGGAATATGTTTTGGAAGATTCGTTAGAAATCATAGCGAAATTACCTATAATAGCAGCACTTATTTATAAGAACACTTATAAAAAAACTCACCAGTTACCTCCAGTTGATAAATCGAAAGATATGTCATACAATTTTTGTAAAATGTTAGGATACAGTGATGTTTTATTCATGGAATGCATGAGAATGTATCTTACTATTCATAGGTAAGGTGTTTATATAGGGTGTATTAAAAATAAGTGCACCAAATTATAACCAGCTCACATTATTCCAGTAATCCACCGAGTCAATTCGGTCCAGTGCTAAACAACAATGCATGTTCACTGTTCAACGTATTCAGCACTGGATTGGTCGTTTACACTATTTTAGTGGTACTGGAATGGGTGAGCTGGAGTGAAAATGTAGATCAAAGTTCAATCCAGGCTCTGAACTGGCTTGCTCACTGGAATGAGTGCATTCCAGTACAATCCAGTATCGGTTCATATTCTTCCAGTGGAATTCCAGCACTGCTTTTGATCACTGGACTGGAAGAATGTGAACTGGGGATTACATACACTTGGGACGGCTAAAAGTTTTTGTGTATAAACTGAGATTTATTGAACAACCATGATATACATTTTAAAGTATGACATTTTAGCTACATTGTGTGTAAATTTGGTTAAAACATTTCAAACGGTTAAAAAGTTACATTCATTTTCCTGGCACGTGGTTCCATATCACATAGTTTAAAAGAGTATCATCAGCATAAAAGTGTGGCATATAGTCCAAAACATTAGCGAACCCAATTGTAGAAATCAGATTTAACAGAGGACCCAAAATAGAGCCCTGTGGGACACCAGATATAACATCTGCAGTCAGTGGCGTAACTAGAAAATATGGTCCCAGGCGCAAAATTTTGTAAATGGCCCCTGTCTTTATAGCAAAGGTAGTAATACTATGTATACATATTATGGTATACAGAAAAAAAACACAAATTAAGTTGAAAATACTTATTTATTTTCAAATTTACTAACAAAAAACCAAGAACTAAGAACTAAATTATTACAAAAGTTGTTTTCTTCTAGATTTCATCGCTGCAAATATACTTATTAAATTTTTTAAATCCATTTTCTTAGCCTCACTGCTTTCAATTGCTAATATAGAAAGATCATTCAGCCGCGATTGTCCTATACTATTTCTTCTATAGTCCTTTATTATTTTTAACTTGCTAAATGATCTTTCTACAGAAGCAACTGTTACAGGGAGCGTGAAGAACAATATAAAAACAGAAAATACATCCGATATATCAGTTTCTAAGCAATTATATTTGGTCATTACTAAGTTAGCAAAATCTTTTACACTTTGCAATTCTTTTAACTTGTCTTTTAAAAGCGAATGAACATGAATAAATTGCAATGAAAATTGTTCAGTTAAAAAAGTTGAATAC